CTCGACGCTGTTGTCGGTCGACAATAGTCTTGAACAGGGCGGCGCGCCGAGTCGCCGAATATGGACAGGGCGGGGCACGTGACATTTTCTAGTCACGTGGATGATACGTTCTTGAATCTTTGATTGGTTGGCTGGTAACCGAGCGGGTCATTAATTGGTCGGGCAAGCAATAAATAATATTTTGGGACGACTCGTCAGTCTTGAGCTAGAAAAAACACTTTGACCTCGACCTCGACGTTCAGACTTCCCAGTACCGCGACGTTGAACTCTGTACGTCTTTGCATATGCTGGATAGGCTGGCATGGACATCCTCTCTCGCAGACTTTACAACGGCGGTTTCAACCATCTCAAGCGTCGCACAGGCTCACTCATTCTTCGCGTTCCCCGTCCAGTCACCCAGACACAAACTCTCGCAAGGCTCGTCTCTACAGCTCACCAAATGCCCCAAGCGGACACAAGTGTATGTACTCTACACTCTGTTTATTTTGCTTACCTCGCATGCCGTGTGACAATCGCATGGCCTATACAGTAATTTCCTCCGGGAACTCGTGTTCAGCGATGGCGTTGCTCCTTACAAACGGTGTTTCACACATCTTATCTTCGACAACCTATAAGTCTGTCACGCCATTCTTCGCCATAAACTCTTTGTCATTTCTCTCGCAATCTGACGTGTACTGACCACCTGCCTCGATAGAAAGGCGCAGAGGAGCCACATAGCCATGGTCATTCTTGTGGAATACACTCCTACCTGAACGCAAACCGTACACTGAGCTCAAGCACACAAGCAGCCACCAGCATGCCGGTACACAAGGATTTTGTCGCAAAGAATACTCCCTATGTCGAGACATTCGGCGAGAAGGCTGCACTTCCCTTGAAGCCCGGAAAGAAGTTGGCCATCGGTAGGAATTCTTCCACTTGTTGCCATCGAATTGAAATACACACTAGTTTTTGCAAGTTACCTGCATGGATGCACGTATCAAGTACGTTCTGGACGCGATTTCTTGAAGGCTTGGGCTGATCCGTCTATCAGCGTGTATGCTGAACTTGGGATTGACGAAGGTGATGCCCACATCATTCGCAACGCCGGCGGCAGCGCGTAGGTTTTTTGCCTTGCTCGCAAAAGGTACGAGATCGCTGACGTTTTCTTTACAGCAAAGATGCCCTTCGTTCGATCATTATATCCCAACGCCTCCTCGGCACCCGTGAGATTGCTGTTTTCCACCATACGGATTGCGGCATGCTCACCTTCACGACTCCGGAACTTCGCACTATTGTCAAGTCCTCTACAGATGATCCGTCTGTAGCGCAGGCCGTCGATAAAATTGAATTCCTGGAATTCTCAGAACTCGAACAGAGCGTCAAGGAAGACGTGAAGTACTTGAAAGAGAACCCGCTTGTTTTACCCGAGACAGAAGTCACAGGCTGGGTCTATGAAGTAGGCACTGGGAAGGTAAAAGCGTTCGTCCAATGGTTTCATGGTCCAATACTAACGAGGCGAACTGTACAGGTTCGCCGAGTCGTCTAATTGGTCTGAGAGTATATATGGATTATAAACTTGCTTTTCATGTAAATTATCTGAATATACACGTTATCTACCTCCAATACCGTAAGGACCAACGTTATGGACGCGCGCTACGGCTACATAAAATATCGATGGCATGTAATGACGCGACGCGACGCGTAAACGCCCGCGATCTTTCGATCTCCAAACAGAATTTGTGGTGGTCTTTTACGACCTGAATTGACACAAGCCCTCTTGATCTCCAACCACCACCACCTACCGCCATAGTCATCAATAATACTGACTTGCAGCAGCGGTAACGTTTTTTACTCAGGGCTCAGTACCTTCAGAAGCAAGATATGTCGGCAGCTCAAACCGACATTGCCATCGAGCAGGCCCATGAAAGGGCAACAGGTGGTGTTGACACTCCGAGACATCGCGCGCTCCCGGGGTCGTCGTTGGATGTGATTTTGTCTGCGTCAGATAAACCTCTGATCGCTGTCGATCTTGACGACGTTCTCAGCCAGACGAACCGCGCTGTCATTGAATGTGGGTGACTCGATCTACTTTCGTTGACAGTACCGTAATGAATTTCAACAGGGCACAATGATGTATATGGTACCAAACTTGATCTATCAAGCATCTACTGTGAGCAGCACCGTTCGTCTCGTTCGCGATAGGAAGATGACCACGAAACTCTACCTTTGTGCCTAGATTACTACTACTGGAAGGTGCGACCAGACTTGTCAGGATGACTCGTGCTCAAATTATAGACGTAGAACCCAGGATGGGGAACCCCGGAGGAGACTTTCCGCAAGGTGGAGGAATTCTACAAGACCGACTACCTTGATAGAGCCCAACCAATTCCCGGCGCTCTTCAAGGTCTCCAGAAGCTTAAAGAGTTCGGGTATCGGCTGGTCATCGTGACCGCCAGACAGCGTCGCGAGCTTGACCGCAGCGCACACTGGATTGAGAAGCACTACCCAGGCGTCTTCGAAGACATGATATGCACTGGCCAGTCCCAGGAAACATTAGCAGAGGATAACCTCTTCGTGACAAAACTCTCCAAGGCGGATGTAAGTATCTGTCGTGGCGTGCGGTGGTGCTGTCTGAGGATTTACTGAATAATAATTTACCTGATAGATCTGTGAGAAGCTTGGGGCTAAGTTCCTCGTGGACGACTCCCTAGAGAACTCCCTCAAGTGTGCCACTCACCCTAAACATACGCCTGTGCTGTTGTTTGGTAACAATGAGTGGAACAAGAGGCTCTCCAAGTATGGCGATATCAAGGAAGAGCTCAGCTTCGAGCAGAGGCTTGCAAAGGAGGGTGGCAGGGAATTCTGGAAAGACGAGGACATAGTACTCCCGGAAGGTATTCCATTGACAAGAGTAGAAAATTGGGAAGGGGTGTTGAGCTGGGTAGAGCAACTGCGAAACCAAGAAAAATTGTAATCTGGTCTCAAACAGCAAGTGCATACTGTATTGTGCAATATAAGGCAGCAAGTAGAACTTAGCGGTGTTAATCTATTTATATGTACAGTCAATTTCCCTTGCCAATATGTGGCGCTATAGTGTAGTGGTTATCACTTGGGATTCTGATACTAAATTCCCAAAACCCAGGTTCGAGCCCTGGTAGCGCCTTGGAACGGAATGTCCATTGCAGGCGATGCTTTTGCTAGAAAAAAAGGTCACGAAGGAGGGAGGAATATATCCTAACTCAAGTAACTTTTCGCGCGTAATTCAGGACCTAATCTGCAACCTTTTGGATTTTCAGCTCTGATATTCCACGTATTCTCAAGTTCATGTATGAAGCCAATTCATGAATAATGATCCTTAAATCAAACGGAATCGAGTAGTCAAGTAACCAATCTACACAGACATACAGACATAATATAATAATCCCTCTCTTCATTGCCCTCCAGCTGCACCTGGACCCCCGAACTGTGAAGCGCTTCCGTGGAATTGAACAAAATAGTCCAGTGAATTATTTGGAAAGATACTCACAGGTTTCGCAATGATGGATCCGACATGAGCTCTGCCATGGAAGGCATGCCACCACCTGACTGCACTCGATTCATCTAAGCGATACGCCAGGTCAAGTCGCTGTTTAGACAATTATGTGGTTACTGACCATGTTCTGCACGGCAGGATTAGACATCAGGCCGTCCAAGCCACCGTTAGCCATCATCTGTTGTGCCATTTGCATGACAGCAGGGTTGTTCATCATGCTAGCGATGTCGGGCATTCCGCCTCCGCCTCCGCTTCCACCGCCCATTCCCATGTTTCTGAGCATGTCTGCCATACCGCCTAGTCCAGCACCAGCACCAGCACCAGCACCAGCACCAGCGCCGGCTCCCGCCCTGGTACCAGCTGGAGAGGTGGTGTCAATATCGTCCGCCGTATCTTCGGGTTCTTGAGGAATACGGGACTTCGCACTCTGGAGACCTGTCTTCAGGTTGGCATTCGACGGGTCAAGGTCAAGACCTCTCTGGAAGGCATCTGCAGCAGCCTTGAAATCGTTCGAGCAATAGTGTGCATGGCTATCCAATACAATCAACGACATGATAAATCGCTACACTGAGAAGTACGGATACACACCCGAGGCGATGGTACGCGCGAACAAAGGCAGGATCAACCTCAATTGCCTTCTCAGCATCAAGAATTGCGTTCGCATGATCGCTTTTGCTTGAGTACGCGGCAGCACGGTTGGAGTAGTATACTGCATTCGTCGGATCGAGCGCGATAGCTTTGGTGTAAGACTCTATAGCTTCATCGTACTGCTTGCCAGACATTTGGGAGTTGCCAGTCGCTTTGAGCTTCTCAGCAGCGGCCTTATCCGTTTCTGATGCTACTTGAGGCTGCGAGACTGGTGGTGAGGAAGAAGAGGCTGTTGCAGGTGCGTTGAGCTTATCCCGAGTTTTCAAGAAGACATCGAAGATGGATGTCAGTGTCGCAGGTTTCACGGAGAGTTGTTCCTTCTGAGTATCGTTGGATGGATCAACTCCAAATGCTTCACCTATGCATTGGACTATGGGGAGATTTAAATCAGAAACAAACCTCTGCGCAGTAAAAAGAACACGTACTGGCAACCTCAAGGCTCTCCTGGTCGTCCTGCTTGACTGTTCCATCCTGGATGGACTGGTTCAGGAAGTCAATAATTGAGAGCACTAGGCGTTGTTTGGTAGACATATTAGATATGTTGCGAGAGAATGTTATGGGAGTTGAGAAGTGAGCAAGACTCTCGGCTTTCAGCTGAAGACCCTGCCGCAGGCACAATATTAATCGCAGCCGATAATGGGCGTCTGTATCAATATATCGTGACGTGAATCTGACTACAAAAGAGTAACTAAAGTTTCTTACCTCTGTATTATTCCCACAGTAACAAATCTAAGTTCTGCGGCAGCAATACTTCAAAGCCGCTCTGACCAGGACCACCACCCACCTCAACTCGGAGGACTCCATCCACTTCACCCCTCCTACAGTAGCAAAGTCTACAATGTTCTTCTGTGCGATCTCTGGAGAACCTCCACAGGACCCAGTCGTCTCTCAAAAATCCGGCAACGTCTACGAACGTCGTCTCATTCTCAAATACATCACCGAAAATGGCACTGACCCCATTACTGGTGACAAGCTAGAGGAGTCAGACTTGATTGAAATCAAAGCCAGTGCGTACTCCTGAGCAATCGTCGTTTTACAGTGCTCATCTGTCCAATTTTCCTGATGGGTAGGTCCCAAAACGACTGCTCCTCGTCCCCCTTCCGCGTCATCCATCCCCGCATTGCTGCAAACTCTGCAGAACGAGTGGGATGCCGCCATGTTGGAAGTATTTACGCTCAAACAGCAAAACAACTCATTGAAGCAAGAGCTCAGTGTCTCCCTCTATACCCAAGATGCGGCTACGCGTGTGGTGGCGCGTCTTATTCGCGAACGTGACGCGGCGAGAGAGTCAGTGTTTTCTCCGTTGCTCACATCGATGGAATGCTGACGCGAAGATTTCTTCGCTTGTCAATAACAGGGCGCTTGCCAGCGTGTCTGCTACCATGGGTGTTTCTCGAGCAAATGGCGCAGGCGGAGATGTCGAAATGGCTGAAGTAGCTGACGCAGGAGGCCTGCCAGAGGCTACTCTCAACCAAATTGACGAGACACACAAGACACTTTCCGCTGCACGCAAGAAGCGCAAGGTGCCTGCCGGTTACGTTACCCAAGACGAGGTCAAGACCTTCACGGCGAAGCACACTATTCCCTCTTTGCACGCATCATCTCCGTCCGGCGTTACCGCACTCGCGGTCTCTCTGACAAATCCCTCTCAATTCCTTACTGGTGGCAACGACAAGATCGTTGAGCTATACGACAGGTCTACCGACAAGGTTGTTGCCTCGCTGAAGGGTCATACGAAAAAGATCAACTACGTCGCTTTCAGGGAGCGCGAGGGCGAATCTACACTTTTGCTTTCTGGTGGCGCTGACAAGATTGCCAAGGCATGGTCATATGACGAGGCTGCAAATGACTACATCCCTAAAGGCACTATCCGTACTCACAAGGGCGAAATCACTGGTCTCGTTGTCCATCCCACGTCTACTATCCTTGCTCTCAGCTCCACCGATCATACGTATTCTCTTCACGATCTCAATACCTTCGAACAAGTTTACCGCTCCCCCGAAGCGGAAGAGCCCTTCACGTCACTTGCAGTTCACCCTGATGGTACATTGCTCGCTGTTGGCACTCCAGCCTCTACCATCCAGATCTTCGATATTCGCTCCGGGGCAGTTGCGGCGTCGCTCACTCCTTCGTCCGGAGTTCCATTCACGGTGGATACTCTCAGTTTCTCTGAAAATGGATACCACTTGTTGGCTCCAGGTTCTTCTTCGTCTGCTGCTATTTGGGACTTGCGCAAGCCCAAGCTCGCGCACTCCATCGATCTGGGTGAGGGTTTCAAGACGCAGAAGGTGCTATACGACTACAGTGCGCAGTTCTTGGGCATTGCGGGTAGCGAGGGTATCCGTGTCTTTGCGTATAAGACTTGGGAAGAACTCGCTCGGTTCGAGGAGGCTAGCGACGCCGGTGACCTTGTGTTCGCTGACAATGGCAAGGAGATTTGGGGTGTTAGTGGCAGAGATGTTCGTATCTGGGGCTTACCCGCATGAGTCGGGCTTTTTACTGTTGTTTGCTGTATCTCTGCCGCCTACTTGCTATGCATATATTCTCAAGCAATCACTCAATTTTGTCGGAGGTGGCTATTTACCGCACCGTGCCATGGTGCTATGAAGTAGATGTGAGTATGCTATCCATGTGGACAATAACAGCGATATACAGAGCACATCAGGTCACGATAGGTGGAGGTCACTCGAGACTATTTTCCTGTTTTTGTTGATATGTAGTGTAGGATTCATAATGTATTCGTGTACTATAGTAAGTGCTACGAGTGTCTATTTTACAACAAAAACATGGTGCAGCTGAGTCAAGGCCGACTACGTAGGGCCACTACACATTCGTCGTGGGTAAGCAAGAACTGACTTCCTGCAGGCTATGAAGAACAAAAGATGGATACAATGTGCGTGTCTCGGCGAAACGTGTCTTGTGAAGCGAATGAAGTGAGGATGATGGTATACCGTAATACAAGTGCAAGAAATGTACCCATGAAAAGATAAATGAATAATGATACAAGCAAAGAGTCCTAGGTAGATGAGGATTGTGGCTTGAGCACTTCATCACCACTTGGCCGGTCCAAAAGTCCCGTTCGGAGGGAGAAGGATGAGTGGGATGCCCATCGCGTCATTCGTGTTCTGCCACACGGTGTTACCCCACCAGTTAAGCTGCAAGCCGTTACCACCGTTGGCTAGCCCGGTGATGAGAACGACGAGGACGACTGAGAAGGCCACCCCAGCATCCAGCGCAGCGGCGAGAACGTAGTTGTATCGCATCCACCAGCGGAAGTGGTAGCGACGAGCGAAGAACTGGAAGATACCACCAACGAGGAACCATGTCGTGAAGTGAGTGCCGTTGAGGGGAGGGAAGTACATTGCAGCACTGAGTGCCACTGGAACGTTGACGTAGCGCCACCGAGAGTAGGGGTAGCGACGAGCAAGGAAGTAGAATGGGATGGGAAGAAGGGTCGCAATTAAGATAATCCACAAGAAGGGGTTGTACCTGAGGAATAGCAGGTCATTAGCCAGAGATTTATCATCAAATATGCGTAGAACTTACAGTTGGCCGGGTCCGAACAGACGCTTCGCACCAACAACACCCCAGATGGTCGCGGCATCGGAGAAGCTCTGGTCTCCGGGGCAAGTGAAGCCCTGCTTATTGGCTGGCGTGCACACGTCCTCCAAACGATCGATGACCAAGTCGTAGACGGCTTCGGAAACGACGACGCCAATGACGACCGCCGTCGTGATGGCGGAGAACATGAGCCTGGGGGCGATCTTCATGTAGTGACCCTGCTTCATGCTAGCAAGACAGAAGCAAGCCTGGTCACTAGGTGCGGCGACGTATGACTTGAACAGCATATTTCCGACGGCCTTTCCAGGGAGAATGTAGCCACCGAGGAGTTCTGCCAGGAAGTTCAGAGTCAACTCCTGGTTCGTAATGGCACGGATGATGGAGATAGGCAGCAAGAGAATCAGGCACATGATCATGGAGAC